AAGCAAAACAGGGACAGGGAACCAGGCTAAGTATAGAACTGATTGACCCTCTTTAAGTAACCCATTCAAAAATTTCATTGAAACCGAGTAAAGTTTAATGCGAATGTGATTCAGACCTAATTGTTTATTGACGTAAGGCAAAAGTTGATCAAAAGAGACATCATGTATATTTGTCTATTGTGTGATCGATGTTCATAACTCTGCCTATGTCTACGTGTATTGTTAAAAGTCTCATTACATACACACTTGGATATTCTGGGCTTTAAAGATTGTCTACATAACTTATGTGGTCGTTGCAACCATACGGAAATGCATTGCCTAGTTTTCTGATCCCAAATTGTTCTCCTTGTCTACGGAATGGAGTTCTTAAAGTGGAACTTTTAGTTGCATGATTTATTTTCACGAAAATTTTAAGCCTCATTGAAAATATAGAGTGGTCAGACGAACTGAAATATTTATACAGGTGATGATGGTCCCTATTATTTATTGCACACCTATGCCCCGACATTTTTCTTATTTAGTGAACCCTTTGCTTCCCCAATATAAAACAGTCGGCAGAGAATACATACTAGACAATGTTGAAAAGAGCTAGGTTCACATTATCCAATAAATTGTCCTGCCTCTGTACCAATTCACTGACCAAGTCTCAATGTCCCATTTCAAACATCAATATGACGTAGAGACTCAGTGCTTTCATTTCCATTAAAAAGTTTCCTCTGAGAGTCCAGTTATTGAAAAACAGGCTGTGTGAATTGCAATACTCTTGAATTCTGAAGAAAATGGGTATATTCGAGCAGAGAATTAAAATATGAGCCTACCCTTCGATCCAAAAAATAAATAAATAAGATAAAACATGGATTATATTCTTCTGAAAAAGTTCTTTTATCATATAATTGAGTATTTTGGATCAGAGGCTGTGCTCTATGCATAATATTGAAAAGCAGCTTAAAATTTGGGCCATTTAAAAAAAATTCAGGTTTTGAGGATAATGACACAGTTCTTTACATCATAATACATGGACTAGTAAGAAAATTACGTCATTTTAATAGATATGCAGTCACCAAGGGACCAAGTGAAATTCAATGTATTTTCAACTCAAATTGAGCAGTTCAAGTTATGAATTTTCAGAAATTCAGAGGGCCAAAAAGGCCCATAGTAAACCTTGTTTTTTACAAGCCGAGTTTCCCCTAGTCTTAGTATCAAAAAGGTGCTATTATATCAAAGCACCACAAGTTTTACAATTTTGGAAATTGAACACATGGGGTCTGAAAAGGAAATTAAAAAAATATCTATTTTGAAACCTTACACTTTTTTTTTTATTTAAGTGAAGGTAAACTGTATGGTTTGTTTTATACCAAAAGCTGGTTATATGCTGACTGTTTAAATGTCAAATTTATTTGCAATAAAATAATTTATAAATTATACGCTATTTAAAGAACTGACAAATGGACGCCGACGAGAATGTTAATACACTGGTAAACAATTATCAATTCCCATTTAATTTGAATCAGATTGATAGAAAATTGGATATTATAATGAAGCAAACATCATTTTTGTCACTAGCTTGAGAATGATTGATGTCACTCGAGCTAAAGAAGTTTTAGCTCCTTGAGTATTTATTCCAGGACTTTTCTCATGAGTTAATCAAGTAAAAGCAGAGAAAGGGAGTTGAATAGTCGGCGTATGCACATAAAAGGTTTTTGGTTACATAAAGAATAAACTTGATTGGTTGACTAAATATTTCCCAAATTGTACAAGGAATGAGAAGCATTACCATGGGCAAAGTTTTTCAGCATAAATTTGTTTATCTTTGAGTGATAAACTAAATTAAAAAAATAATTCTTAAGTCATTTTTCTTTTCTGAATTTTGTACTAATTACTTTTTTTTTATTTATCAAGTAAAAGGGCTCCCGACGATTGTGACCGGTCGGCAGGGTATTTTTACCCTTTCATGGCATTTGATCGTACATCTGATGTTTTCAAAGTTCCACTTTTGCTCTGCTCTTAATCTGTATTGTTTAATCGGCCTTTTGAGTTTCAATACTGTTCGGTGTCTTAACATTTCATTTTACAAATTTCGCCATTAACGTTTGTAGTTATATCTGCCAACCTGTTAGCACCATTAAATAGCAATAGTACAGTAAAGTACATGTATTCTTTTTCGAGAGTCTGTCACTCCATTTGAAGTCTAGATATTATGTAACTTTGCTGTTTTTCTGTTTTGCAGCTGTTAAATTTTTGTGAAGGTGTCGTTCTCAATTTAGTAAAGATCATCTCCCCTAACATGTAATTTTCTATTAATCCTCATAGGCAGTGTTAAGTTCAAACTCACAATATTTCTGATATGAAAAAGGACATAAATCTATTTTTTTCATTTATGTGTTAAAAAAGATAATTTTCAGCCTTTGTGGTAGAAATTTCAATAATAAAGAAAAAAATACAGACGCTTTAAATGAGGTCAGGACTTTGCATTTTTAATATGAATATCAACTTATGTACAGTTACATGAAAAACAAAACGTATCTATCTATCGATTGAATGAGATTATATCTAGATATATTTAACATACACTATTTCAAAACTGAAGAAAGACATGTTCATTTCTCGTCAAAATCGTTTGTGAATCGAATATAATCGTATCGTGTGACCATCCACCAATCAATTATGTTTGTGCGACTGCATTATAACATTGCACCTAACTCGTAACTGGTTTAACTTCAAATTTTCTATTTTTTTGTAATTAATAAAGGCATAACCTAGTGTATTTTGATTTTTTAACATCATAATTCTTTGATAAATCATTAGTCTTTCAAATGTTTAAGACTGTTGCATGACAAGATAAAAATGAAAAACTGACACAGTCTAACAAAGAGGAATGGAAATCAGCACTGTGCACGTATATACGAGCATAGGCGTCGGAACCGGGGGGGGGGGGTGCTAGGGGGCTTAGCCCCCCCCCCACTTTTTTTGCAAAGATAGACGTAATATAGGCATTGAAAATTGGGTCTTACCTTTTTTCGTTGGCTTAGCCCCCCCCCCCCCCCCCACTTTCAATTAGCCATCCCACTTTCAATTTGCTTCCGACGCCTATGACGAGAGTTTGTGACTGTACAAATTGTCTTTTTGTACATACGTGTATTGTCGTCGGCGACAATATGGACCAGTCCTCAATCCATTGACACATATTGTCATCGGCTGAAAATATTGTCCAGGGCGACATTATGTGCCTACCTTCACTGCACATATTGCCGTCCTACAGTTAGGGGTACTTAACAATTTTTTTGTGTGTGTAGTTTTGTAAATGCAATTTGCGTGTAAATCATACAGACGTGCCTCGTTAGCTATTTCGAATTCATGAGCATTATTGTGACGGTACATATTATTGTCATGTATATATTATCGCCGGCGACGATATGTACCTAACCGACTTCACATGTTGTCGTCCATCGGTATGTAGTGTCGCAGGCTGCAAAACTATAGATGTACTTATTGTCGATGGCGACAATATTTGCCTAAACTTTCTGCACATACTTTCGCTCCACTCTAAGAGTTACAGTAGTATAGATTATGATGTTGCTGCTGAAGATAATATCAAAAATAATAAATTCAATTTTCATAAGATGGCTTATGTTCATTTCGTCAACAACAGTTAAGCAGCTGAAATGAACGCTACAATTAATATACCTGTGTACAAGCAATATTGTGAAGAAGGGAATAGTGCAAATAACATGTATAATATGAATTCATAAAAAGACCAGCAATCTCTCTCTCTCTCTCTCTCTCTCTCAAACACCCGCTCTCTGTTACATGAAAAAAAAAATGTTCTCACGGTTGGCTTGTACAATCTTTATGAAACTTCACAAATCCATTTAAATTAAAAAAAAAAAAATCCATTGCCACGGAAACGGTTGGACAAACTTTTTCATAGTTAAATATTAAATAACGTGTACAGTTCGAGTTTTTTTTTTCTTCCGGAAGGTAGAGAATCTGCCGTCACATGATCATTATGTATGGATCATAGTGTATGTCGATCTATTGCTCGCAACAGCATACATTCTAGTTTTAATTTTTTTTATCATTTGTTTCATATTTCGATATTTTACTGATTATAGACGTTTGTGGCCAACTATCAAACGCAATGACTTCAGAATCGGTAGGCAAAAGTTTTGATTTTTTTTTTTTTACGAAATCGAAACACAAAAAATCCTGTCTCACCAGTGAAATAAATTCAAATTCAAGTGTAAAATATTGAATTTCCTGTTTATAACATTTTATTTGATTTTTCTTTGTTCTATCTTTTCGTAACATGTGGTCATAGGATCAGACACCATAGTTGAGCTGTTGAGACGTCATAGATTAATTAGCAATTGTGAAATTGAAAACATTTTAAACATATTTGGAGAAATTTGACCGTTTTAGTCTCTGTCGGGATGTTTTATTTACTCTCTCTCTCTCTCTCTCTATGTTATACTGACTAGGGAGTATTTTTTACAACACTTTTCATGAAGGGAATGAAAACCTTGAGCTGTGCCACACTTCTGATATTCTTTCACACTGTGACAAAATATCACTTTTATTCAATAAATAATTACTGTATTTCACTGTTGAAAATGTATGAATATTAATATTGAATTTATGTATGTATGAATCTAACATATCAAAATCTTATTAATATAATAAAAAAATTATAATTTGAATGAGGCTTTAATCGATTTCAAAACAATAAAATGTAACTTCAAAATTAAGATAAGGTTCTGTTTTTAATGTCAAATTAACGTATTTCAAAATATATCTCTGGGAAAAAATCTTGATAACAAAGTTCAATATTCATTAGGCAATTCCTCTTACGATGAAGTTTTCTTCAAACATTTAACATTAAAACAGGCAGAGTGCAGCGTAAATATTCACGGTGTGACCGTTATAAAGTGTAGGTAAATTTAACGAGAGAGCCATAAAATGATTAAGTGTGCACATCAACCTGTTAGGGATAGAAGTCGTCCTGCCTTGTCTCTTAACGAACGCAATGTCATTCATCAGAAAAGGTTTGCGAGATCTTCTGGCGGTGTATAAAACCTTAATTGTATTAATTACGCCATTAATTCTAATTGTGGTACCGATTACATGGAATACTTCGGTAAGTGTCAGTAAATTGTAGCAAATTCTTGAAATAAAACTATCTGTATACGACTAGTTTACTTAAGTAAACAGATACAGTGAGGATATCGTCACTGTTTCTCTCACAAACAAGATGATTTAGCATTGTCAACTGTCATCACTTCGTTTATGTAGATAAATATGCAAGAAAATTCTTAACGTGCATGGTGCAAAAATGTACCTAAATAATTAAGTATTTAACCTGCATTAAAATGAAAATTGAAAACAGAAAATGTGTAGAAATAAAAGTAAACGGTGTGTAAAAGAGTGAAATGATACTTAGATTTGTTTATTGTAGAAAAATAATTATTACCTCCCAAAAATGTATATAAATTAAAAGAGAATATTAACAAGTTGAATTGGCATTTGACATTTGTTTGAATAAATACGGAAGATATGGGAAATGGCAATTACTTAAAAACACAAAACAAAAACTGCAATGAAATGAAATGACAGCTAATATAAGGAAGAAACGCGGAATATGACAGAAAACGTTTATCAGTGGTTCGGTGCACCAGCAGTTCTGACCCAAGACCAACAGCAACATTATTAACCTTATGCGATTTTTTTTAGTAATAAAATTCAAGTATTTCTTAAAGGGGCATAAACACACTTGCATTGACAATTTGTTTACAATTTGGATTTCTCTTGTTATTAAAAAGTAACTTGTTATTAAAAAATAACTTTAATTAAATTAATTAAAATTACATATTCTTTTTTAATATTCAATGTAAACAGCATTTTTATAACCTTTCAACAAAAACATTTGATTGTAAACTTGTGTGGATATTAGCTCTATTATTGTTTTACCGGGTGTGTGCCCGTTTTCTATAACACTGCACATATCACTGAGCTGTAACAGATAGCACTGGTATGTTACTTTACTTTCTTACATTTCTATTTTGACTTTTCTTGGTTAAAGTATTAATATCTTTTTATTTAAACAGCACATATTTTTGCCTTTTCTGGAATGTTGAGAATAAATTTTAGCCGTGAAAGTGCAAGGATGTATGCTGAACACACTCGAAAATTGTAATATCCAGATAAAAGAAGTTTCATTGCTATCGATATGTATCCTACCAACTTACCAACTTACCTACCTACTACTTTACTACATGTGAATTATTATTCTGTATAAGGTTTGAGACCCCTTTAAGCCTGGTTAGATTGTTATTTCCCGATCATGACAAGGAGCACACGGCGGGTGTGACCGGTCGGCAGGGGATGCTCACTCCTCCATGGCACCTGATCAAACCTCTGATGTTTTTGGAGGTCTATGTTTGCTCTGCTCCCGATTTGTATTGTTTTAATGGACTTTGAGATTGAATACTGTTCGTTATCTCCATATTTCATTGTTGTAAAACCCGAATTAATACATTTATATTGCTTCCATTTATCTAAAAAAAAAAGTTGGCATGGTACCACTGAAAAAATGATTATATTAGAATTTATGAGAAATAATCAACCGATTTCGCTAACTCTTTTCATTGCTTATTTCCAATATTATTTTTGATTAAGAAAAAGAAATTACTTTCACCTTGTAATTTTATATAATTTTTTTTTCAAATAAAACTTTTAAAACCCTAATGTTTTATCCAGGAAATGAAAAAAGGAAAAAAAAAAAAACAATCCATGCAAATACATACACAAGATTTGCGGAAAATGATGTCTTAGTGGTTTTATTTTTTCTTGACAGATATATGTTCATCAAGAGAAGAATTTAAAGTTAAAGTAACTGCCAATTCTGTTTTACTTTATCCGGAGTATTTTGACAGATTTAAGCAGAATGACAGACAACACTGTTTGAATAACCTCATAAAGTGTATCGGAAAGTTTTTTTACAGACTTTAAGTTGTTTGCTATCTTTATGTATTTACCATTGTAGATAAATCCAATGTAATATTTATTGCACCATAAACCCATAAATTTTATTCTTACTAGGAAGGAAAATGTGCCTACGGACTTCTGCTTATGGCTATTTACTGGGTAACAGAAGCACTTCCGCTGGCGGCGACAGCTTTACTTCCGGTACTCGTGTTCCCACTGCTGGGTGTGATGAAAGCTTCCGAGTTAAGCAGCAACTACATAAAGGTTAACACTCTTTTTAAAATTTAGCGCAACATGCATATAATAATGCTGTATTTAATATCAAAACCAATTTTCAGGAATTCATGTCAGTTGTAGAGACAGGGTATTTACAAATAAGTTGATGATGCAAAGATATTAACAATCTCGTTTGGGTCGGAATTTCGCAAATTCTGTGGTGCAAGACCTTGTTTGCAAACACAGTCGATTCTTAGGACAAATGACTGGCGTTTTTCATATGAATTGTTAGGCTATAAATAACTGCTTCTAAAGTAAAGAAATACCGCAGTTATAAAGTAAGAAACCCCCCGTAGAAGGATCCCCCCCGGAAATTCTACTCTAGAGCAGACTTTTCGACGAGGTGGATACTTTTCTATAGTCATTTTCCCCATTTATTATCAACCAAAGTGGTATTCTCCTCCTCCTTAACTCATAATAATATAATTTGATACATGTACAACTTGTGTACAATTTAACTGATAGTAATCAACTTAACATATTCTTTAAAGGATATGTAAAAAAAAATTAAGAAAATTTAATGCATTCTAGAATCTGTTGAGAACCCTTTTTTTTTCTTTTGAGAGAATCCTTAAAAAAGCACTATTCAGGAATTAAAAAAAACTCATCAATCTAATTTAACTTTGGATGAGCTGTAGCATGTACATTGCATGCATATATATTCACATGTATTTTACATAAAACACCAAATGCAATAACAAAATATTACTGCATTTCTATGAAATATCTAAGTATTTGAATTATACATATATATATATATATATATATATATATATATATATATATATATATATATATATATATATATATATATGTATATGTATATGTATATGTATATATATATATATATATATATATATATAATTTATCAGTGTGTGTGTATGTGAGGGTGGGTGTGTGCGTGTGTGAGGATGTGTGTGTGCGCATATGCTTTTAATTTAAACGTGTAGGAAATCAATACACACTGTGCTTTTACAGGAAGTATATAGGATGTAGCAATTTTCATAGTTTCTATTTTGTAAAAATAATAATAATAATAATAAAAAAAAGACAGTTAATGTCCCTTATTTTTGTAAATCAGTGAATATCAAATGTTGTTATCTACATATGATATTACTCTGACTGATGGAAAAGACAACCTTCTTCTGCAGTCTCTACGACGTCGAAAAACTGGGGTTTTTTTATCTTTATATCGAAAATAACAATTGTACACAATTTTTGTACAAAATACTTTTACACATAATTATGTAAATAAAAATGGCGACACAGAAATAAGCCAAGCGAGGTCCCTCACTCACATACTATCCTAGACAGTGATTCAACAGAAAATATTATATTAGAATTACAATGTCGTGATTGAGTCTCGCTCATACTTTTTTTATTTGTATTGGTAGATGGATCCTCGCTGATAACTGTTTTTTTTTTAATTTGTGTATTGCTTCGACGTTACAGAAGGTGTTGAGGAGTTCATATGATTCCTAAAATCCTAAAATATTTCTCTTTTGCTTCTTCTCAAATATCAAATTCAATTTATCCTTAAATTCCTGTGCGAAATACACACCCAATCTTCCACGAGGGTGGGCTCCAGAAGCTTCACTAAATTAGCCTTTGTAATCATATAAATTACAAAGAGCTTTATATGCCCCCGTATCGAAGATTCGGGGGTATATAGTTTTTGCCCTGTCCGTTCGTCTGTTTGTCTGCAAAAACGTTAACATTGTCCATAACTTTTGATTGGTTGCAGCTATGGCTTTCATATTTCACATGACATGTGTATTCCTTGTGAAAAGATCTTTTTTGGGGTACCATCATATTTGACTTTTTCCTTTGACTTTTCTATCTAATATGTCTATTTCTTGTGACAAGACCTTCCTTTGTAATCCATTGACCTTGACCTTGGGGTTTGACCTTCTTTTGAAAAACTTAAACCTTGGCCATAACTTTCGAATGATTGGTGCTACGGCTTTCATATTTCACATGTGTATTTCTTGTGAGAAGGCCTTTCCTTGGGCCTCATTAATTTTGACCATTTGACCTTGATGTTTGACTTACTTTTGCAAAACTTAACCTTTTCCATATCTATTCAATGGTTGCTGCTAGGGCTTTCATATTTCACAAGTATATTCCTCGAGACTTGAATTTACTTTTGGTACCGATATATTTGATTCATTTGAGAAAGTTTAACCTTTGCTATAAGTTGCCATACGGGGGCATCAGTGTTTCACAAACACATCTTGTTTGTTCTTTTTTGACTTTAACTCTTAAAATTTAATGAATCTGAATTTATAATTGCTCTATCTGTAACTTTCACTGTCATCATTTACTAAACATAGAACAGCATGCTAGCAAGTTAAAAACAAGTTATAACTTTCCCAAGACACAGAATAATTTCCACATTTAATTCGGTCTTCGAAAACGCTGTTTTCCTGACAAAGACTTTGGAGACTACTCGATATATTTTTGGGCGATAACAAAAGTGGAAGTGTAGCTAGACTTTATCTAAGCCTTGCCCAACTAACAATGATTAAAAAAATTTAAAAATCAAATTATGTGCGGCATGGTTACATGTAGTGTGTTCGAATTTTTCTTTTGTAAAGTTACTTGATTGTAGGGTATAAATAGTAAAGTTATGTGGTATCACGGCATCCTATGCTCGCTCGCTAGGAAGTAGAGATTCTGGTATAATGGCTGATGCAGTGGAGTGTAATGACATGAAGAATAAATTGTAGGCTGTATTCATGCCATTTCCCAAAGGTTTCATCCGTGTAAACACATATGTATTTTTTGTACGGAGACACTGTACACAAACTGTTTGCAACGCCATTTAAATTTTTACTTAATTCCAGCACCGGAAGCCTATTGAACCTTCATACATGTTTTTATGCCCAACTTCAAAATTTGTTCAGCATTCACATTTCTTGCACTTAGATAATGTGTTAAGAAAAGTGTACACTATATGATAAAACCAATGGAGAGTACTGTACGACAAGTCTTTGCTGAGGTGAAAATACATAAAAAGTGTCAGACATTTAATACCAAACTTACGAAAATAGATATTGAACATGATCTTTATGAAATCCCCTCATCTCTGTCACAAAATAAATTTCCAATCTAGCGTCAAGAATTTGAGAAATTGTTAGCAATGTCAATAGTATCCTATACGTTATTTTGTATCTATTCAAAGTCAGGGGAAGTGGATAGCTCGAATCAAGGATGTTTTAACAAATTGTTCCATCGCAAATTTTTATCCGATATAATTGATGATTATTTGCTTCATTACCAGTTTTATCGGCATTAATTAATAATTTATCAGCGTATGCTGGTTGTCCATAGAACACAGCACTAGAAGATTGGAACACTGGTACTTCTGTAGATATGTCACAATATTAAAGATTCACTCCCTGTCGAGATGATGCATCAAACAGAGTCGCACAGTCGCAGGATATTCAATCTACATGTGACGAGTACTTTATCAATACATTTAGTCTAATTTTTATATGTACTATTGAATCATCTCCATAAGATGTAAGAATATGTCTCTGGAAAAAGTACTAATGTGTTTACTTAGGCTCTGAAGAAAATTATCAACTTTCTACGAAGTAGATGAAAGAAATGTCTCGCATTTGGTAAAACGTATACGGTCTAGAAGAAAGTCTTAAAAATATGAGATTATGACTCTTCTAGAATTGTTTAATGAGGTTCAAATTAAACAACAAATTTGAGTTTACAAAGCATGCATTGGCTGAAAAATTTACAAATAATTTTGAACTTATACTTAGTTTATTGTACAGAGAAAAATTATTGCTGAAGTCTACAAGATATATATAAAAAAAGACTTTTATCCCTTTCATTATCCTTTGAGGTGAATTTTGAAACCGAACATTTTGCGGAGAATTCTAGAATCTAGATCCAAAGGTTCAGGTGTTGCTAAAGGGGAATTTTAGGATATAGGTCTTAAAGCTTTAGGTGTTGCTAAAAGGGAATTCCAGGATCTAGATACTTAGTAACAAAGCCTCAGGTGTTGCTAAAGGGGAATTCCAGGAACTTAATCCGAAAACTTTAGCTGTTGCTTATTTAAGCAAAAGAAAATCTCTTTGTGTCTGAGGTCAGCTGAATCAAGCAATCATATATGAAGATAATGAACAGTAATCAAACTCAAAAGTCCATATAAAAAAATACAAATCAGAGCACAGCAAACAAAAATAAAACATAATAGGTGGGATCAGGTGCCATGGATGATACGCTGTATAAGTTTGCAATGAATCAATAGCTTCGTGTAAAAGCTTCATGTCAAGATATTGCAATTGATCTTAGAGATTCAAAATTAACTTCTTAAAGAATACGTAAATGAAAATATATTACTAAATTGTCTGGAAAAATGAATAAAGCCTCGGAACTATTCTTCGATACCAGACCCCAAGCAATAAACTGAGACAAGTCAACGTCTATTGAGTCAAAATTTAGACTTACATGTAAAATTTCTGTCTTATGTAAAGAACATACTTAATAAGTTGAATATATGTATGATATTCTATAACAACACTAGATGAAAATTTTGCTTTATTTTCAAATTTATTCGAAATTTTGTCTTAACGTTTGTTCTCAGTTTATGATCTTAAGGACAGATATCATGGTTTGATAAGTAAAAAATGAAATATATTGTCAAATGTCTTGGCATGACAAGAATCTAAAAAAGCAGTGTCTCCTACAGGTACGAAATTGGTTTGTAGAACATTTATAAGGAATAAACCATTGCAAAATAATGTAATATGACTACCTCCCTTGCCTCGGTGATAGCAATGTCCGGTATTAATAACACATAGTGGTTATCTTACGTAATTTGGTTTCAATTTCTCGGCTTTAAATCAGATTTCAAAGGTCACTTTTGTTAACCAGTTTTACCAATGAGAGCACTGACGAGAATTATGTGATATTTTGGGTAAAGTTTCTTTTTCGCATTTGTTGGAGAGTTCATTTATATGTTAGAACTCGATTTAACAAAATTATTTCCAACATTTAATTCTTATGCAGGAAATGAATGCTATTATTTTTATCTTTCCACTATAGTATATATACATGTACTTGTACACTTTTATTGATTGCCTTTCATTTCGATCTGAATTGGGAATTACCTATATTTAAACAAATGGATAATTTTTTGAAGAGTAAAGAGTGAAAATAAGCTGGATAAAGTACAAAAAATGAGGCAAAACTATTTATCACTATTTATGTGGTTCTGAAAAATAACGTGCGTATAACTCCCTCTCAGGGGCTTGAAATTTTAAGTTAATGTCATTTAATTGATTTTGCTGCATGTTTCGTCCCAGACATATGTAATTAGAAAGCTACACAACTGCACTTCCGGAAAAGCAATTCCATCAAAAGACCTTAACATCTACATCAAAATTTCAGGGAATTTTGAATTTTAGATTACGGAAAAATGGATGATTTTTTAATTTGCTTTTTTAGGAATCTTCGATGTTTGGACTTGGTGGGCTCATGATCGCTATCGCTGTAGAGAAGTGGAATTTACATAAAAGAATTGCACTTCGAGCACTCCTAATGGTGGGATCAGAACCAAAGTGGTAAAATTATGAAAAAAGGGAGTTTAAAAGAGTGTATTCATTTAAGCCATGCTGCATATTGGGCATGAGTGACTCACATCAACTTCTACAAAAAAAATTAACAAATTCACTAATTTTAATCTAATCTTGTAAATTGCTTTATGCTTAAGATGCACACACATACACACCCTCACCCACCCACCCACACACACACACACATTTACTAATGCTAGATTTGGAAGTGCGTATTGTGTGGTGTTCTCAAACCGTCTCAGACTGGTTTCTGTTACCTTTATATAAAATAGTTTTACAGTATTTACAATTGTAATTTATTCTGTTTCACAATTTTTTGTGATTTATAGATGTAGATGTAACGCTGTTGACGTGGAAGTCAATTTTTTTTTCAATCTCCCAATGGTACTCTTTAAGATAATTTATGAACAATAGACGCATCAGTAATTTGATTTACGATCTATACTTAAACTTGTGGGAGTAAAACATCATACTGAGAGACATTCCATGTTTAAGGATCTGGCAATTCTATTGATAACCCGACTATTTTCTGAACACATTAAAAAAAACATATAAAACAAAACATTCACTATTTACAATTTTCATTTCATTATTATTTGAATTGCACCGTTGGTGTAAATGGAGGTACACAGTCATACAAATTAAAATAACTATAAAGATCAAGCGCCAAAGTATGTGAATAAAATATAGTATAGAATACAGTACACAATTCGTCTCTTAATTTTGATTTGCAGGCTTATGTTTGGCTTTATGCTGCCCACGTGGTTTTTGTCGATGTGGGTGAGTAACACTGCCACTACTGCGATGATGATTCCAATCGTTGGGGCGGTCCTACAGGAATTTAAATTGGTGAAAAAAGCATCCCATGCAGGTAAATATTCGTGTGCTTAAAATCTAATTATTCCGTCGCATAAGATATTTTTCATATATTTATCATACTTAGGATGAGGCAAGATCGCTTATTAAAGTATCTATAATGGTTTTTTTTCCTTTTCAGATGACGTTAAAATGACGGAGGTTTCCAACGGAGTTGTTAAGACGACAGAAATCTCAATAAAAGTTCAAGGAAATGGGTATGCTTATTTGTTATGTAATTTTCCTCAAACAATGATTAATTAATAATTAAAATTCTTAATAGGCAATAAAATATTTTCCTTTATCAAGCTTTTTATGACGTAAGTGCTGATCGGTTGAAAGTATCTTGTAATTTAATACTATAATGAAAGAAAAACTTGCGGTCAGCAACGTAAATTTTGAGATATTGGTCAAAATATGCGATTTTCAGACGATAAATTTTATCTTGCCTTCTTAGATATAAAAGTTCTCAAAGTTTGTCGAGTGAATGTGTAAAAATTGTTTTAAAAATATTAATTGAAACCTATATTGAACTTTCCTAGCATATAATAACGAAAATAAATCTCCGAGTAAAAATATGTAGGTTTAAAGTTGCAAGATAATAAATCAAACAAATGTGTATATTTGAATTTTTTTTTCTAAATATCCTTAATTCCACCACAAGAAATAGCCCCCCATAAATTTTGTTACATAACAGTTTTATGAGCTGTTTTAGAATTGTATATTGCATAATTTGCATTTTTTAATTCAAATATATAATAAAAATTGAATTGTAATAAATAATTTTGAAGATAGAGGATCTGACCAAATTTTTTTTCAAAAGCTAACGAGTGGCTTACTTTAAAATTCAAAATATGCAGAATTAATTTGTTTACAAAATAATGTGTTTGCTCTATTGTAAACTAGGGAAGAAAATGACATTAATCACCAAACTGCCAAACCTAAAGAAATGGAGCACTATTCTGAAGAGAAGGTCGCCGAAAAATGTGAGCACAACTCAGAAAAAAATGCAGATTTGGAGGGAAATGAAGGATACAATCGAATGTGTAAAGGAATGTCACTGTGTGTCGCTTATGCCGCAAATATAGGGGGAACAGGATCACTATCAGGAACCGGTCCGAATCTTATAATGCAAGGACAGGCAGACCAGTAGGTACATATTGTAGCAAAGGCTTTAAATATGAAAATTGAACCTTAAATCTTTATTTACTTGTAGAGTCTGTTTATAAAAAGCTTACGAGAGTTTATTTTTTAATTTAAAAATATATTTAACAAAATGAAAACTTATTTAAGCATTCAATAATAGTTTCTTTGTTATGCATTTTGTTATAAATATCATAGGGTGTCTATACAATTTGATTAAGAAAAGAAAAAAAAAGATTATTAAACACATATCTAAAATTATTTACCATTTGATATATTTTAACGTTGTTTCATAACGAACAGTAATCAAGCTAAAAAGTTTGGAACAATACAAATCAGGAGTAGGGCAAACAAGGACCTCTAAAACATCTGAGGTGGGATCAGTTGCGATGGAGAAATAAGCATACCCTGTCGACCGGTCACACCCGCCGTGTAAACAGAAAAAATCCATTGACAATTGTAAAAATAATGGCCTAACAATTAGTATGAAATACGGCAGGTCAGTCAGCATTCGACATTGTTTCATCAACTTGTTTGTAAACAGCGAGTATCGTTTAGGAAATTGCCTAGTTTTTGTTCGTGATTGAACGAAATACACCTTCTCGAATAGTTTACCGTTTGTATGTTAGATCCTTTAAAAGATCGTGTATATATTTTACCAATACACTCAGAATGCTTTTCCGCTTATTTATTCAACACTATCTACATTTCTAATTATTTTCTCTGTGATAACCTCTTTGAAGGTGAGGTGAGTTGATTTCTTGATAATTACAGCTGAATGTAAATTTCGCAAAGTGAACGATAGTTGGAAACATGGGATAATTTAGGCAAAACTGGGCTTTGCCCGTTATGCAGATTATCCCACGTTTCCAACTATCGTTGATACCCTGGTATACCCAAAAACTAGACAGTGATTCCTCAAGTGTAACTTAATAGTTGCTCAATCGGTACGGTTTTTCCTTCGTGTGTTCTGTCTCAGAATAAACAGTTTCTATCGCCGACATTACGTGAAATATGAAGATAACGAACAATATTCAATCTCGAAAGTCCAAAGAAACGATACAAATTTGAAGCAGAGCAAACACTGACCTCAAAATTTAGAGGTGGGATCAGGTGCCGTGTGTAATTTACAGCTTATTTTGAAGAAACCTAAACCAGAAGTTTTGATGAGACTGTAGCTCTATTGATTTTTACTAAACAAAGGTAGAGAAAAGTAGCACATAAACATAAAACTTTGACAACACCAAAAACTAAAATAATGATCCTTGATTGAGTTTTTTGTGTCCAGTTTAATTGCAATTAGACCAAAAAAAAAATGTAATAGGATTAGGCTTTTAAAAAGACTTAACTGAAATTTTTATATTATTAACCATGGCAACACCATTTGTTAAAATAAAAAAAAACCCAAAAAATTGTATCTAAGTGAAGTCTTTTCTTAATGAAATCGTATCAAAACTGAAGGAGGAAATAGCATCTTGAAAGAAATTCTGTTAAATTTCTATTTCTAGTAACCATGGCAAGACCATTCATCGAAACCATAAACTGATATACAGAGTTATGTGTCCGTGTAAAGTCTATATGTGTTAAAAATATTGGAAATAAAAAATTAAAAAGACTGTAAAGTAGCTTTTTTTTTTTTTTTTAGAATTTCACAAATTTCTAACTTTAGTAACCATGGCAAATCCATTCATCAAAATCAAAAACTGATTCCAAGAATTATATTAGTTTAGTCTTTTTATGTAGGTAGTTTAATTGAAATCCGGTCAAAACTACAAGAAGAATGATAGCCTTTGAAAGAATTTCACAGAATTTTCTATTTTTAAAACCATGTCAATGCTCTTCGTCAAATTTAATGTTAAGAACATTAAATCTTAGTGTAAGTTATTTTATTTATGAGCCCAGTTATGTTGAAATCGGATTAAAATCATAGGCATTTTGCAAGGAATTCACAGAAATTTCTGTTTTTTAGTAACCATGGCAACACTGTTCATAAAACCAAAATCCGGTAAAAAGAATTATGCATTTTAGTGTAGGCTACTTGTGTACCAAGCTATGTTGAAATTGGAGGAAATCTGTTGGAGAAGTAAGCATTTCAAAAAATAAATAAATAAATAAATAAATAAATAAATAAATAAATAAATAAATAAATAAATAAATAAATAAAAATAAAGTCACAGACAGACGGACAGATATTGGACACCTTATCATCGCATAAAAATGAAATTACGACTCGCATATGACTAAAGTACCGTAAACAAGTATGTCACTAAAGATCAAAGCCCGTTAAATTGCACATTGATTTATTATAGCCCATTTAAAGTAAAAACGTTTTAGCACAATTAATTTTTATATAAGACTTGAAGGCATTTTGGAAGGATGTAGTGTAAGTGTGAAAAAAAACTATTTTGGGTGTTTTCTGTTTAATTCATTTAGTAGAAAAACAAACAGTTCTTCATGAATAGAATCTAAATTGACCATTTCTTTTTAAAAATTTTAATTATTCTATGTATTCTATGACAAGTATACCTTTTTTAACATATAATAATAAAATACTAAAAACAACAGGCACCATATACAGTACTACAAATCCCAGAACTTTCTCTTTAATTTCATGCAATCAATCAATCAATCGAACACTTTATCACCCTTTGGTCTCCTTTGCGTTGCACTGAAATGGTTTTATTTAAAACTAAAGATTTACATAAAAAAATTGAATGAAAAATGTAAACATGCATGACACCTATATAATGCTGTTCCTGAAAGTGGATTATATCAAATTTGGAATGCAGAAGCCAAATCACATAATGTATCTATAATATTTAATTGTGATGAATTCTGCCATAAGACTGTGGATATTATTTGGTTTTAACTGAGTAAGCGATGTCGCCGACATATGTCTCTTAATTATGACTTAAGAAGAAGCATATAGGTTATTGAAAATCATTAACACACGATCAAAACGGGATAACCTTGAAATAATTTATAAACTTTTAAGATAATTTAAACCATTTTTGTGATTTTTTTAAATAGAATTTTCCAGGAATATGGAATGCAGGACTCTGGAGTGAACTTCGCTAGCTGGATGGTTTTCGCCTTACCAGGGTCGATGATATGTGTTCTCCTAGCATGGCTGTGGTTATCTTTCTTTTTTCTTGGTTGGAGGTATAATTTTCATTATAGCCGTTTTATTACCCCATCTGAACTGAATGCTCAAGTGAGCTTTTCTGATCATATTTTGTCTGGCGTCCGTCTGACTGTCAGTCTTTAAAATTTTCACATTTTTGACTTAATCTCAATAACAGCTGGACCATTTTGAACCAAATCTGTCACAAAACATCCTAGGGTAGAAGGCAATCAAGAAGGAACCTTTTATAAAAATCTGCTGATAATGTACGCCAAGTGACTCAAATGAGCGTTATGGCCACTACCCTCTTGTTTAGAATCGTAAGAATTATTGAAGTACTAATTATTCTAATTTTCCATTTATGATCATTGTTTCAAAACTCAAAGTAGTATTTCATGTCTTCTGTGAGAATAAAAAAAACACCCTTCTTTAATCAGGAATTATCGAAATATAGGCTATCCTCGGAATTATCACTATAATTTTGTTGCTTAAGAAAAAAATATTCTTAATTAGGGGTGTGGTTTGCAAAAGACGTAAAGAAAGAAATGACCGGGTAGAGGAAACGATACGGAAATCATACCAAGAACTTGGATCGATGTCGTAAGTGTTAACAAAGCACTTTATTACCTCTTGTTCACTCAAGAAATATTGTAAACATTAATATGCATCAGAGGGACAGTATCTACTTTGCTTACCTCAAATAAATATTTTTTAGCATTGATTTTGACTACTTGTGTATTTTTTAAGTTTTGCAGAAATTGTTGTATTGATCCATTTTGTCATCCTTGTGATTCTGTGGTTTTTCCGAAAGCCCCCATACATCGATGGCTGGGGCTCCTTCTTTAAATCCGGGTAAAGTTTTCAAAAGTTCCTTTAATCTAGTAATTTATATGGTTTACAGGCTTACAAAGTACTGTTAATCTAATAATTTATATGGTTTACAAAGTATTCTAAATCTAATGAGGTACATGTATTAATTATATGGTTTAATTACAAAGTACCTTTAATCTAATGAAGTACATGTATTTATTATAATAGTTTACAGAGTACCTTAAAGCTAATTAAGTGCAAGTAGTTATTTAATACACAGTTTTATTTAAAATTTAATCATTTTCAGGTTTGTTGGGGATTCGGCCGCTGCTCTCCTTATAGTGATGTCATTATTTACATTCCCATCCGTACGTCCTGCAGTTTTGTGTTTTCGAAGGAAAAATCGTATGTTTGCGAATATATTTTTTATTACGTTTTAAGCAGCTCTTTACTGATGATTTGTTTCATCAGTTTTGATTTAAAACTTTCAATACCTTGTAGAATATTTGAGAAAGTAAAGCTCTTTAATGAGATATTTAACAAACATGCACTTAAAGAAGAAAATGTAATGTTAGGCAATGATTCATATACAAGACGATTCCTACATAAACAGACTTTTATCAAGCACACCTGTAGATCTAGAGTCTGCATTACATATATAAGTATTTTCGTGTTAACAAAGAAACCCAAACAATTCTATAAATGAGTGTTATTATGCATAGAACTTGATGGAAAAATATCAATGGTTTGCATAACATTGTTACGTAATTAAAAGCATTTCCTGGAGATGACAGACCACGCAGTTCAGTTCCGGCTATTCTTGACTGGCCAACCGTGGAAAAGAAATTCCCTTGGGGAGTCCTTCTGCTGATCGGAGGAGGTTACGCTCTAGCGGATGCTTGTGAGGTATTTTACAGTATAATTCTTTCATGTAAATTACTTGAATTTGATTCATCGAAAAACATTTGTTAAAAAACACTGTTACCATAATGATGAAACCACGCCCTCCGGCGCGATAGAACTAAGCAACAGTCAATATTGCTTGACGACGGGTGATATTCAAAAATGGAGACTGCGCGGAATCTATGCGCGCATGCTTCACCTTTCTTTGCATTTGTATAAAACATTCAGTATACATGTAATTAATACTGCATATAGTTGAGGGTAACATTGTGAGGCTGAACCTCGGTCGACAATGGTTTTCTTGGGAAGAAACTTTTCAATGTTACCCACAGCAACATGCAGTAATTTATATAATAAGTGTTTGCTTTTGATTGCTGTCATTATTTCCTTTTCAAATATATGTTAAATTTATTCATATAAAACTGGGTATTAGAGATGATATCTTAGAAAATTAATGACCGATTGGACCTAACCTTTCTAATATTCGACGGTGTAAGTATATAAGACATTAAAGGGACTGTAAGTGCTAAAACTAGTTTTTGTCATAAAGAAATTTGATTTGTCACCACTTATATAACAGTACTCAAAAAATGTAAGGAAAGCCATTACCTACCTATGTATTACATAGATTCTGCATTGAGGAAACCATACAGGAAACTTCAACATCAAGTTTCATTAAGTTTCCATATAGTTTCAGTTTGCTCTAGAGCCACGGTGTAAAAAATTGATCGAATCCCATTGCTCTTCCTTCGGATGGGACTCTATAAACCGAAGTCCCGTGTCGCAGTAGGTTCTGGCACGAAAAAGATCCCTCACTGCTCAATGACCCTGAGTGCCAAGTATAGGTCTAAATTTGCAGCCCTCCACTAGCAAGCGGTGGCGTCTCCGTAAGAGTGAAAAATTCTCCAGAGGGACATTAAACAACAAACAAACAAACAATACTCCTTCTTATCAGTAATTACCCCTGCTGCTGGTCATGGTAAACAATGGAACCCAGTTATTTTAATGAAAATACAAGTTTATTTAGATCTAGTTTGGATACTTTTGGGCTTTCATTCTCACAAGGAAATTCAAACTCAACTTCTGACAATGAAGATTCCTAAATTAACGTACAAGTGCCAGTGTGAAGATAAATAAAGACCTCCATAGAATAATGATCGGGGCCATTTTTCGACGTCTAAAATTGACCCTTTTGCCTGTAGAAAAAGTGGCATCAGCCTAAAAATCTGCAATCTACGTAAAGAAAAATGATCCCCGTAGAATAAACCCTTTAAAAGCTTGTAGATTTTTGCAGATATATACTTGTATTTTTCTTTTTGGGTTAAAAATATTAAGAATTATAAACCAAAAGACCCGTAGACCAAAATGCTCACCTGAGTTATGCATAAAATGAGGATACAGGGATGATACGTTGGTCTCATTAAATCTTTCGAATAAAATACATGTACATGTAAATGTCTTTAATGATATATAAATTGGCAACATTGATAGACTTCAATTAACACTATTTTGAAATGCTTCCATTTGATTCGACATGTGAATTATTGTTTTTAAGAAAATTTTTCAAAATGTTTCCCTTATATACCGGTATTACAGAGAGAGAGAGAGAGAGAGAGAGAGAGAGAGAGAGAGATTGTTTATTATGTCTAATACCGGTTAATCAGGTTTCGTTTGAGTGCATGTATTTTTAAGTCAATGATTTTAACAGTGAACATACATAAATTTTCGGACAAATAGCAAAAATGTCTTACAATTTAAATAAGAAGGATTGCATGATGTATTAGATAATTTTGGTACATTTTCAATAAAACCAAAAGAACAAGCATTGATTAACAATCCATTGTATATGGCAAGCAAAACTGAAGATGCAAGTAATTTTAACCTAAACTGCAAGTAAAACTTCCATGAAACCCAAGAAAGCACAAAGGAATTGAGTCAATAAAAGAACTTGATCGTGCAGATATCCCTAATTCGTCCCCAACGTGCAATTCATCCATGTGCTTTATACTGTAACATCTTTGATTTTCTGAATGCTCTCCTTTATCAGACAAGAGTAATGATAAATCTTGTATAAAGAAAAAAAAACATCAAATCTGTTCGAACAAATTTATTAAGCAAATATACAGTTTGTCTGAACAATAGCGATAAAAAAAACCCCAATTTAATCTACTTTATTTTAAGAGTATTTAAATTGTCCGAAGAACAACTTACTTGTCAACACAATTATCTTTTTCGTCCGAACCAAGAATAAACTTTTCAGAACTATTACCTAATTTGTCAGAACATATATGAAATTCGTCCGAAAATTATTATATCTTTTGAGGCTTCAACGGCACCATACCATTGTATTATATTCCATATTTATAAAAGTTAGGCCTTCATGGATTTTTAAAATTTGTGAAATTTATTATGATTCTAAAATTACAAAATTTAAAACGTTACAAAATAAAACAAAAACATGAAAAATAAATCTATTTGCTAATAAGGCCATTATAATGACCTAAGAATTTGATTGAGAATGTTGAAAACCCTGAAACATCATCTTAGTTGTCATAACCTGTCTCTGTTTAAAAGTTGATCGTACACAGCATGCTCTAGAAAACCAAATAAGAGACTTAAACACCATATGCAGGCGATAGTGGAATATAATTGACCGGCACAGAGAGTTTTCCACAATATTTTATTGATTTTGATTCTGATTACTAGATTTATTTATTGTGACGTAATGATAACGTTGCGACTTTCAAAAAGCATAACGCCACATTTCTTTTTAAGGTCAGACGATACGTTCCTCAAATGTCTGTTTTGTATACCTTCGAATTATTTGGAAAATATTCAAAATTTTAATTACCTTCTGATTTCTAAACTGGTTTCTAATTGTCTTTAAAAAATGAAACACCAAAAAATGTGTTATTGGCTAATTAAGTTTTTTCCAAAGGGATTTTATAGGAAAAACATCCTCTGGTATCTTGCACAAATGCCTGGTAAGGTACCTCAATTTTTTGCGAGTAAACATTTTAAAGTAGCAATACTTCAATGACAAAATCTTAGAAAAAATTATATATTATTGAGGAACGTATCGTCTGTCCTTAAAAAGGTAAATATCATTTTAATTTGAAAAAGTCAACGTGCAGATAATGCATGGGATGCAAATGCGTTATTGATTGTTAATGAAGGAAATCAAAATACTATTCTATTGATTTTTATTTGTTTTTATATATAACAATTCAAAACATCGCTCAATATCGCATCCCTTTGGGGCTAAGAAAATCAATGCTGACCTCATTCCAAGTCAATATTTATACATTTTAATTGTCCCAAGGACTAGGAAAAATCATCAAAGACAGCGATATTATAAATTATCATGCATATAAAATGATTCAAATGTAAAATGGTTGATCTAATTTAAATGTTTGATGTTATTTATTAGTCCCCTACCGGTGAAACCGGGGACTATAGGTTTCCTCTGAGTCTGTCCGTCCGTCTGTCCGTCCGTCCGTCTGTCTGTCTGTCTAGCTGTCTGTCTGTCAGTCTGTCCCACTTGGTTTTCCGCACTTTTTCCCTAATCGCTTGCAGATATTGAGCTGATTTTTGGTATGTGAGAGTACCTTGATGAGTTACAGATCAAGTTTGCATTTCGTTCCGCTTCATTGATTTTTGACGGAATTACGGCCTTTTCAATTTTTAGGGTTTTCCGCAATTTTCTTCTTAACGCTTTCAGATATTGAGCTGATTTTTGGTATGTGACTTTACCTTTATGAGTTATAGATCAAGTTTGCATTTCGTCCCGCTTCATTGATTTCTGACGGAATTATGGCATTTTCAATTCTTAACGGGAACCAGATTACACTTGCCGGTAGGGGACTACTATTGCTAATGCAATACTCTCAGAATGCTTGTATTTATATGCATTAAAAATAGTGTTAAAAATCTAATTACAGAAATCTGGATTGTCAGCTTTCATTGGAGAACAGCTTGAAGTCTTAAGTAGCATGCCTCCCTGGGCAATGAATCTTTTACTTACACTCATAATTGCAATGCTTACAGAAGTCACAAGCAATTCGGCCACAACAACTCTCATTCTTCCTATATTAGCCAATTTGGTATGTTTAAGTTATATTATAACAATGCAAAATACCTTTGTTTTTCATTATGATTATTCAGCTATGTGGTGAAAAGTTGAACAGTATGATATGGAAATGGAAACACTCTAAAGGTAGTTGTCGAGTCTTCCCTTGCATCATTTTTTTTTCAAATTAGTATTTTTCTCTTTTTTAGGCTCTTCGACTTAATCTGAACCCACTTTACTTGATGTTTCCCTGTGTGATAGCTGCATCATTCGCGTTTATGCTTCCAGTTGCTACACCTCCAAATGCTATCGTATTTGCAACAGGACATTTAACAGTGAAAGATATGGTAATTTTATTTTTGGTCGATCTGTATCAAAATACAAAACATAGCATCATAATGTTATAGTGCTACAATTAATGCCATACAGAGAAAATCCATGTTGTTCATATTGAATGAAATAAATAAATAATATTTTTGAACATTTCTTCTAGGCCAAGGCAGGATTTTTTCTGAACTTTATTTGTATTGGAGTTCTTGCCCTTGGGACCAATCTTTGGGGAGAGGCTTATTTCAAACTTAGTGAGCTGCCATCAGGATTCAACAAAACGAGTCTAAATACAACACAAACTTTGATCACAATTTAGTTATAGACTTTATTTTCTTCATTGTTCTTCATAGTCAAGTTTGTACAAAGAACTTATTTTAATTAAAACAAAATACATATATACATATTTGAGACTTACCGGGTAATTTATTGTAAACATTTTGCATATACCCAATAATTTTAGTAAAATAAAAAAAAAATTATGATAAAGAACAATGATCTATCTCAAAAAATCTTTAAACAGTACAAATCTGTGAATATGGCATAAACCATGGATTCCTGTAAACGCATCTAATAAAAAAAAAACATTAATTTTTTTCCAGATCACCTAAACAATCTAGCTGTGTTGTTAACATTCTAAACGAATTAACCATTTCAACCTTACTAACTTTGAAGTTTTCTTTGGTAAAGAGAGAACAAATTTGTTTAAATAAAGCTATCAATTTAAAAATTCTCTGTCTATCATGCCATGTTGTTCAATTATTCCTTGAGCAGAATATGGACAACAACAAGTTAAAAATAATAAAAGGTTTAAATGGAAATACATATTGAAATAAAACTTCTTAGCAATAACAAGGTTTTCATTAATACACATGTATTCTATATAATATATTTAATACACGTACTGAGACAATGATTGAAGCACCAAAGTGGGGTCAAAAATTTAGTAGATGTAATTAAAGAAAGTATAAATTAAGAAAGAAGTGACTATAAATACTTTTATCATCTGGAAGAAGGTGGTAACCAAACATCCATATATCAATGTATTGTGATACAGAAGGGTCGATATGATCATCGATACATAAACGAAGAATCGATGTTTTATGTATATAATGCGCATGTTTTTACAAATGTGGTCTGAAAATTAGAGCATTTTCGTTAACAAAATGGTGAAACTAATTAAAAATCCAAAATGATTTAAATTCCTTTTTTTAGAAATTCAAAAAGAAAAGATATAACTATTTTGCGTTAATGCTGGTTCTAAAATGTGCAAAAGACTATTAAATTATGATAAGATTTTATGTGAACAAAACAAAGCTAAAATCTAAATCTACTTTCTCAAAAATAATAAATAATAATGGAGAAACTAGCGAAAGGAAAACAACTTGATAAATAATGATATATTACGATATTTTTCTGAAATATCATGATATATCGTGACACTTTTTCCTCACGATACATAGCCCAATAATTGAGTCTAATGCCAAGCGTCTGGACTCTGGTTTGATATACTAGTAGCTAAACCAGTTAGCAAAAAATTAGAATGATGATAAGGCTCTATAGATAAGTGGTCACTGAAACTTCTGAAATAAAAGGTAATAACATGTAGATATTTTTTTTTTTGTTTTTTAGAATATGATGACTTACTTCCCATGACAATGGTATGATCTTGTAGGATTTCTGAGAAATCATCACAGACAAATCTGCAATGCTATTTTCTCGTTCAAATTATACAATTCCTACAACTACAACTTTATTATCCAATTAACATGTTAACTTTATACAGAGCTTTCAAGAAATCGATTACATACAGCCAGGAAATTGAGCATATGCTTAATTAATATGTATCACCTAGAGAAACTAGATGCTGTCATGAGACAGTACAGTAATACCCGCACTAAGGTGTTTGCCTTTAAATGCACACTCCTTTATATTGGTCTTACCAAGGAAAAGGTCAAAATAATTCTATAATTTACACAGTACATGTACATGTATTCGTTAATTCGAGCATATAATGCTCAGGTGACCATGTGACCTATGAGCCTCTTATTACTATTTCCTTTACTTAATTCATTACCAGTCTGAAATAACAGAATTTAATTAATGATGTAAATTAGGTTTTGATAAAAGGGGGATATAAATTTTTTGCCCATAATTGGAACTTCTTAAATTTATTTTCTCAACAACAAATAATATTATTTTAGTAATAGCGTTTTTGATGAATTTATCAAAATGTGCAAACTTTTTATTTAGTATTTGATTAGGCAAAAACCTCCTTGAAAATCCATACCCAATCAATTTTGTCCCCCCCCCCAACACACACAAATTGCCTGTTTTTGGAAATTGGCCTAGATGGCAAAGTTATGTTAAAACATTGTTTGTTATGATAATTTAAGATTTGTTCTTGTACTGTACATATATGTGAACACCTTTTTGAAAATTTCTACATCACATTGGGCTTGCATCACCCTACTAGTACTAGTTTTACCATTATCATTGCACATGGTGCAGTGTGGTGTAAACGTCATTACATGTATATCAGTAGAAATTAATTCATTTTGTGTTTTAATTGGATTATATTTCATGAAGCTGACAGGACCTATGACAGTCGGTAAGTACAAGTTTAAGTATTGAGTAGGGTAAAATAACCGAAATGCAAACGGTTAGGTAAAAGTTTAAAAAGGATCAAAGATCATCGGATGCCACAGTAGACGAATTTCACATTCTGAAGAGTTATCTCCCGTTGTTGACATTACATTCAGTTACAGGCACAGATCCAGGAATTTTTTCCGGGAAAAAAAAAAAAAAAAACAAACAAACAAAATAAACAAATGATGGTGGGGTCCATGTTTTTAAAGGGGGGAGGACAAAGTCATTTTTTATTTGCTTCTGTAAATCAGTATATAGTCCTATTTAAAGAATTCTGCAAATTTTTTTTTGGGGGGGGGGTGTTCCAATCTCCCTAGCTGCTCCCTGTCCCTGAAATGACAAATGATCAATGATCATCATCTACCAAAATAGTAGAAAACTTTTCCATTTGACTATACATAATTTTGTTTCTTGTGTTATTATGTTATGTACATCTAATGGTTTAAGGTTATAAACCCATGGAGGTCATCCCCACTCTCTTAATGAACTGGAAATGTTCACAATATGACTGCATCAAATTAAATAAAAGTGCATCATCAATGATAAGACTGCTTGACATTTCATTCATGAATTTGGGTCAACCCATGTAGAATTAGGAATGAAAATCATTCACAAAGATGGACCATTAAACTATTTGTATATATTCACATTTTTTTTATGTCAAAACAAAGTATTAATTTCATGAACAAACAGGGGAAGGGGCGAGGGGAAGGAGTTATCTCTTTACGTCTTAATTGTTGAAAACTCCTATAATGAATGTTAACATCAAATCCGACTTGTACGTCTTCATTAATTTTAAGTGGTGGTGTCTCTATATGAGTGAAAAATTCCCGAGAGGGACATTTAACAACAAACAAACATTTTTGACTTAAAAAACACAATATACATGTACATGTTTATTATTTAGTCAACGGATATACCTCTGGTCAAATCTCTAGTTCTCCCTTGAATCAGAAATGAATGGTATAAATATTTTAAGAATGATTAAGAGTTGAAAAGGTTGTGCATTTTAAAATTGACTTAAAATTCTGTGGTTGAATTAGCTATACCAGTTTAGCTTATTTTGCTACTCAAAGCACCTTGATTAACTATTTTTAATCATACTGTTTTCTGAAATGTGAAGTTTTCTTCAACATGGATACAAGTCATACCTTTTCAGCTTCTGTCAAAACAATGCATGAAAAAAAAAATGCTTTTCAAATACTGTAACTCTTTCTAAGTACTTGTGATCATAAGTTTTTAGCTCACTTGAGTTTTTCTGGTTTTCTGATCACATTTTGTTTGTCATCCATCTGTCCACCTGTAAACTTTTCACATTTTTGTCTTCTTCACTAGAACTGCTGAGCCAATTTCAACCAACCCTGCCACAAAGCATCTTTGGGTAAAGGGGATTCAAGTTTGTTCAAGTGAAGGGTCACCCTCTTTCAAGGGGGGATAATCAAGAATTATTGAAAATTTGGTGGTATCATTTAAAAAAGTCTTATCAAGAACCACTGACTGGGCCCAAAAAGTTGAAACTTTCTTTACATAGACTTAGTGTAGATTCAAATTTGTTCAAATTATGACCCACTGGTGTAGGGTGGGGCCACATATGGGGATCCAATGATTTACATAGAAAAATGCAGAGGATTTTATCCATCATAAATCTTCTTCTCAAGAACAGCAAGGGCATTATTGTTATCCGTTTTCGCGAAAGGGACCTAGGGGACATTAAATCTCGTTTGTCTGTCAGTCTGTCTGTTTTTCAGTCTGTCCATCTGTCACTGTAAATTTAACCTTGGTCAAAACTTTTGAATAATAAGAGATAGGGCTTTCATATTTCACATGTACATTACCTACAAGAACTTTCTAAACATACTATGATTTTTGAACCATGACCTTGACCTTGAAGTTTGACCTACTTTTCAAAAAAATTAACATTATTTTAAATTGATCATTTTGAAAGAGAAAAGATAGGGCATTCATATTACACATGTATATTACCTGTGACAAGACCTTTCTAAATATATCATGACTTTCGACTCTGTGACAGTGACCTTGAAGTTTAACCTACTTTTCAAAAATGTTATATTTCCTTATAACTTTTGATTGAGAAGCGACAGGACTTTCACATTTGACATGTACATAACATGTAACAATATGTTTCCGAGCATGCTATGATTTTTTTACCCCTTGACCTTGATGTTTTACCTAATTTTCAAAAATTTTAACTTTGGTGATTACTTTTGAATGACATATGATAGGGCGTGTATATTTGAAACAATATGTCATAAATAATGGCATCCCATCCACTAGGACACGGAGAGCAGGGGACCACAATTCTTTGAATTTGCTTGTTAGTCATTTTGATATGGAAACATCCTCTTATAGTGTAGATTCAAGTTTTTTATGCCCTGCCATGAATATGGCCGAGGCATATAGTGTTTGTCATGTCCGACTTCAATCAAACGTCATATGCTGATACATACTGATGTAAAATTTTCAACTGCATCAACCTTTTTGATCTTGACCTTTCCTTTGACCTTGACCACTTTTCTTAAATTAGTGTCTAGATCAATTTTGAATAAACAATTCAAGATATATTTATCAAACTTCATATTGATATATACTGCTGATAGCTTTCAATTGCATCAACTTTTTTGACCTTGACTTTCCTTTGACCTTGACCTCACTTTTTAAAATTAGTGTTTATCTACGTTTTAAATAAATCATTTATGATATTTTTATCAAACTTCATTTGCTAATAGTAAATACATACTGATGT